TCTACACTCCGCTTAGCTCTCCGTCTTTCGAAGGGTCCCTTCGACAGTGAACCCTCCACCACTGAGATCATCAACTTTCTTGATGCCATTGGCTACCAGTGGCCAATGAAGAAGGACTCCAACGCCCCCTCTGAAGTCCTTGACGAAGATTGAGAAAAACAGGATGTCAGCTATATGGCAATACCTGTTTTCTTATTTCTTCCAGTGCATGGGTGGAAAAACTGGAGGTCAGGACCAGGCCTCTAGGATCGCCTTGATCATAGGCGTATCTGCGATTCAGCGTCGCAATATAAATTATGTTGCGGTCATTTTCGATGACCTGGTGCTCAAGCTGAACAAGCGCCAGCAAGAAAAGGTGGTGCCTTACACCAGGTTTCTTTCAATGGTGTTCTCAAATATCTTTAAAGCTCTTTACCCCAAAGAAGGAAACCTTCCAGTTTTCAAGCTTGGATCCAGGATTATGGATCATAAGCTGAGGGACAGTGATGTGGCACTATCTTCCATTGTGTCCTTCACTACCTTTTATCCTCAGGTGGCCATGACAAGGGAAAACCTCCCCGCGTCTAGCCAAGCCCCCAAAACCCCTTCAAAACGACCCTCTCAACCAACTCTTGGTTCTCCTCAGAGAGCCAAGAAGTCCAAAAAGGGTACTTTCACCAATCTTCAGTGATTTCTCCCTTCACTGTCGTATCAATGGTACTTTCACCAATCACTTCAGTGACCCAAATCACTGAAAGTGTAAATATCAGCGCCGCCACCGCTGAACACTCACGTCTCTTCTTGACCATTTTCTCTTCTCCTCCTTCCTTGGTCTTTACACATGATGATGTATCAGCGACTGTTCTTCCTGATAGTGAGACACGCACCACTGGACCTGTGGTTGCTCCTCTCGATGCTCCTCTGCATACGGATGTCCATCCTCTCGAGGACATCTTTGCTCACGCCAATGACAATCCTTTAGATGTCACTGATGGCCCCTTATGTATTCCATCTTCCTACCCTTTCTTTTCTTCTAGCCTTGAGCCTTTAGCTCACACTTTTTCTTTTGCAGGTCCTTCTTCGATGCATCAGTCTGATGCTCAGGAAGTGGAAGAGGAAGAAAGAGAAAAAGATGATAGAGGAGATGAAAAGATCGATGATGCCTATGATATGGCATCAGACATCAAACTTCTCCTTCCAGCCATTGATACCGTCCTCTGCAGGATCAACGAAGTTCACCAAGAGATACCCCGTCAAGGAGATCTTGATACGAACTTCCTAGCCCTCCAGGCGGATGTTCAAGAAGTTCAGAGTCATCTCCAGACTCTCTAAGAAGTTGTTCAAGCCAACAACGACGCCATTGTTGTTCTTCACAGCAGGGCTGACGATGCTCAGGCTATAACTGATCAGCAGACCGGTCTTCTTCAACAGATCCTGGATGCTGTCCGTCAACCAGCTCCAGTGAATGCACCATATTTCTCTGCCAATAATCGCGCCCAGGTCCATGAGACGCGTGAGGCAACGACAACTCTAGCCAATGCTTTGCAAAGGCGGGAGGACTCAATGGTTTTCCAGCGTCAGCGCTTGAACGAACTCTCTGGCAAATTCTCTCAAGTCTTAGCCAAAGAGGGGGAGATGAGGTCCAACGCTGGTGAATCATCCGGTTTTTTGCCTACCCCTTCTCAGGCCGTTGGTCCAGTATCAGCTACAGCTACAGTTGAAGCTGAGGCTCCTAGAGCTGAAGCAGTTGTTGCTCATGTAATCCCGACCACTGAAGATGATCTAGCTGAGGATGTCGATGGCATCCTTAGGGATGATGCCCATACCATCACTGCTGCTGGTAATGATGATAATGATGAATGAAGATGATGATGATGAAGACGATGATGAACCTACCATTCAAGACACCGGAAATGATCTAGATGGCGACGACGACGATGATGATGAAGATGACTTTACCATCAAGTTTCAGAAGCCATCAAACGTCACCAAAGGTGTTACTCTCGGGGATTTCGCATCCCAGGATGAGCAAAGGCAAGGTGAATCGACTCCATCAAGGAACCAGGACCCCAAGTCGAAAGGCAAGGCGGTCGCTTAAAAAGGAAACTTGAAGGAATTGTTCAATATCCCTCAACAACTTTTGTTTGAAGACTCTACCTCTCAGGTAGTGATTTCTTCAACTTATCAACTTCATGTTCCATCAACAACCTGCGGTCGACTGGAACGGGTACCTGATCAACCCGTCTCTTGTGCTCCAACCGACCAGCAGATGTCTCAGTTGAAGGAGTCACTCGACCAGACTAGAGTAAAAATCCCTCTTCGTACCTCTAGTGGTGGTGAGTTTGACTTCTTATCTAAAGTTGAAAGACTCGAGGCATTAAGGGTTGAAGAAGAGCTAGAGCTTCAAAAGAAGCAGACTGAAAACAACTTGAAGCTGGCCAAATCACTAGCTGAAAAAGTCCTTCCTAAGAAAAAGTCCAAGAAAACGGTGAATGCTGTCCAAGCCCAGGCTAAACTTCTTTCGATTGCAGAAGCTGAACGCAAGAAGAACCTGAAGCTGATGGATAAGGACAAGCAATGGAGTGAAGCAAAACTGAAAAAGAGACTCAGTCCCCGCCCGATTATCAGCGTTAGCATCAGCGGACGTTCTAAAGATGGTGGAACACTGGTCACAATGCTCATCACCAGGGACAATCTTGATGCCGTTACCGAGTACCCTTCTTACCTTGGCCGCTATGGATACAACAAATGGATGGAGATCAGACAAGCCATTCAGCAATCCAAGTCGAGAAACAAGACACTTATCGAGGGCACCATCAGCAAGCTCATCAAAAGGATGTCCAGGTATGTCAAGGTCCCTGACCGGCCGACTTTGAAGAAAGGTGGAAAGAAGAAACTCAAGCTCTCTGATCCTAATGATGGACCATTCCTAAGGAACGAACATGAAACAAGGTTCTCCTTAGATGAAGTCCTGAAGGGTCATATGAGTACATACATTTCTATGCTGAATCTTGACTTGCCAGATAAGGGTCCTTATACACCCAATTATGTGCATTTTAAACCTGAGTTGGGAGTTATATTCCTTGACTATGAAGGTGAAGTAAGATTTCAGAGAATGTCAGAGCTACATCTATGTCCAATGGATCACTTGGTTTATCTTTTGCTCTAGATAGATTAGAGATGGCCAAAAACCGGTCCCGGGCCGGTCCCAATCGGTCCTAATCTTTCTCATAACCGGCCATAACCGGTCCCGGCGTAACTGGTCTCGGTCTCGGTCCTGGTCCCAACTGAAAATGATAGGACCAGTCAAGGTACTTCATAACCGGTTATGGGACGTCGGTCTCGGTCCCGGTCCCAACCGGTCTTTGCATTAAAAGAATAAGATTTTCTTTTTTGATTTTTTTAATGATATATATTTTTAATACATTATAAAATATACAATTGGGCCACTCAAATACACTTTAAAAATGCGTTTTAATATAATTAAAATTACGTTTTCTTATAAAATTATTTAAAAATACATTTATTTATAAAATTATTTGAATTTTCGGGCCGGGCCGGGCCATAGTCGGTCCCATAACCGATCCCGGTCCCGGTCCCACGAAACTACCAAAAACCTCAACCGGTCCCGGTTTTCGGTCCCATAACTTTAGGTAAGGATGTCTGCTCATGAATAGTGTTTTTTGTACTATTTACTGTAGCAAAGGACAAGCTTTCATCTTAAGGCTTGACACGCACTCTAACCCTACCATATTGCATTAAATGAACATTTAATGCACTGGGTATAAATAGAAGTGTTTCTTCTCCATGCAGAGTGCGCGCAACTCAYTYTYTAACCCTAATTCTTACTTCAAGCATTTTCTAGCTTAAGTAAAGGATCTTCTTTACATCAATTTCTTTTCTTATAATTTTCTAAGACTTTGTGTGTAACAAAAGATTATTTAGATAGGTTTTTATCATCTTATCTTTCTGTAAACAATCTTGTAAAATCTGTATTGATCTTCTCTATCAATATATATTTTAAATTTGAAAATACTATGTTTGTATTCATCCCCCCTCTCTTCTATAAATTGTTTCTCTTCTTGTAGACCCTCACGGGACCAACAGGTTTACCTCCATCGATAAAGCCCATACTTCAGTCTCCATCTCCCCTAACCCGCAAGACCTACCCCTTCGATGAAGAACCTCATCGTTGATTTCGTAGTTTTATAGAGCTTCTCTTTAATTGTGGCCACCCCTACCTTTCTTGACACCTGCAACACATACCTCACTAATGGATGTTTCTTATTGTTTTCTCCCTTTTAAAAGTGGTTGACTTTTTTGTTTCCTATTTCTTTTTCTTTTAGGGCTTCCATCAAGCTTAAGAGATTGTTGGTTTAGTTAAGTTTTGATTGCTTATGGGTTAGTAACCGATTTCGGGATTGGTTTTTGGATTTGGATTTGATTACGATGTTTGGATTTGGAATTGATTTTGAGATTTAGATTTGGATTTGTGTCGATTTTTTGAGATTTTGTTTTTTTTTTAAATTTTTTTTGAAGTTTTAATTATGATATGTCAATTGGCCATAGAAGGTGAAGTTCATCGAAATGTATATATGTATATGTATTGGAAGTTGGGGGACACTTGTAAGTATTTCATATATGGATCTATAAAAAAAATAAGATGAAAGCCTGAAAAGGAGAAAATGTCTTTCACTTAACGGCTAAAAGTTAACAGTCATTAGAGGAATCATGACACTTTTGCAAACCACGATGATCATCTTGTATTTTTGAAACTGAAGGACAAAAAATGTTGTAACTGACAAACTACATGGACCAAAATTGTAGTTTACACTAAAACTAATCAATAAGGTGCTTATGAAATGAAGGATAATACTATATTAACATAAATACCCGCTTTTATTTATAAATTTAAATTAATAGATACGATAACTAGAAATTGAAGATCAATAGAAGATATACAAAACAAAATAACAACCATTTACTTAAGCAATCAATAACATAAGAAATAGTAGTACAAGTTGCAACAATCAATCATAAATAAAATATATGGAATTTAGATAACATGAAAAACTTGCCTTATTTGTTAAGGCACAATAACGGTTAATCATTTAAGTTCATCGAATGAGTACAACAAACCAATTTGATCGGAAGCATTGAGACTTGATAGCTCTATTGAGTCCATATATGGATTTAACGAGACATTATAAAGGTCCGAGTGTTGTCCCTCACTCGTTCGACTAAACGCATCTTCATTACCACGATGGTTAACCCATGGTTGCTTCGTAAATTTTCTCAATCCCTCTAATTCCATAGCCACTTCCTTCATTGTTGGTCTGTCGTAGCCGTTCATGTTCAGACATCGCTTCACAAGAGAAGCTATTGCTTGGAGTTGCTCAAGTGAACCCTCTCTGATCACTCGACGGTCAAGAATTTGAAATAAATTATTCATTCTCAATGAAACGAGGAAATGGGTTGCTAAGTTTCTTTGCTCTTGACTTCGTTCCATGCAAAGCGGTTTCTTTCCTGTTAGAAGCTCTAGAAGCACAACTCCGAAGCTATAAACATCACTCTTATCTGTTAGTTGGCTTGTGTGAAAATATTCAGGATCTAGATACCCTATTGTCCCTTGAACTAATGTAGTTACCTGTGTTTGATTCAAGGGTACCAATCTTGAAGCCCCAAAGTCAGAAATTTTGGTGACTAGGTTCTCATCTAATAATATGTTGGCGGATTTCACATCTCGATGGATTATAGGCTTTGAAGCGGCCGAATGGAGGTAAGCAAGTGCACTAGCAGACTCAATAGCTATCCTTAAACGATTATCCAAAGATAGCCAATCCATTCCACCGTTGGTGTGGATATGATGGAAGAGAGTGCCATTGGAAACACATTCATAGACAAGTAATGGGACTTCACTCTCCAAGCAACAACCTAAGAGCTTCACAACATTTCGATGGTTAATTTGAGTAAGAATGACAACCTCATTGATAAACTGCTCGATCTGGCTCTCATCCATTACTCGCGACTTCTTTATTGCAACAACACTTCCATCAGGTAAGATCCCTTTATATACCGTCCCATAGCCACCACGACCAAGAATCCTATCTTTAGAGAAGTTTTTTGTTGCTTTTTTTAGTTCGTCGGTAGAGAAAATTTTTGTCAACTCTTTAACTCCGCCACCCTCATTCGAATCTATTTGTTGTTTCATCAACAAGCCACCATTTTTCAAGAAGAACTTCTCTTTCAATTTTATAACTTTTCTTCTCTGGTGGCTGAAATACAACCATCCCATTCCGATCAATACAGATAAAAATCCGACACCCATTCCTGCATATATACAAGTATTCTTCATCATTCATTGGAAAAAAAATTATTCATCACGAAAGAAGGAATTTACTCACCAACAGACAACTTGAGGGCCGGCGATCTCGGATTATGAGCCCTACAACCATTCCCATCCTTTCTCCCATCTCCTTCGTGTCCGTGAGGGCACGAACAGTTAAAAGTGCCCGGGAGATTAGTACAGATCCCGTCGCACGGATTGTTGTTTGGATCCGCACATTCGTTGATATCTATGAATTGAAAAAAAAAAGTGATAAACCGTAAGTAAAAACCTCTAAATCCATATCAGAATGAATAAAAATATGTTGCAACTGTTACTGACCATTGCAGCCAGGAGAAAGATAGGGATTCCCTTGATAACCATTTTTGCAGGAGCACCTGTAACCTCCATTCCCCCTCTTGAAATCCACACAAACGCTATTCTGTTGACAATAATAATCACTTGTATTTTTATACTCGTTACAGCTCCTACTTCCGATGACCCAATCCAAAACCACTGGAACAGTCTCTTCTGTTCGCTTGACGAAATTGGGATCGGTGAAATCGGATGCACCCTGAAGCGTAAATGCACTTTCCTCTCCAAGGAATGTGTATCCACATTTGTTGAAAGGCCAGACATCAACGTGTCTATTGAGTGTGAATGAATTTGCAATGTAAGTTTTTAAGCCTGTGGGTAAGCTCGTTGAACAACACCCCATGCCTGAAAAAAATGGGCACATTTTACTTGATCAACTCCTCATTAGCAATGGCACTTGGAATTTTGGTTAAATTCCACCATCATAACTACAAAAACTTAATTATAATTCTTTTTGAATGCTATTATAGCCTCTTAATAACAATTAGCATTTTTTAACGAAATATTAAAAAAATAATTAACAATTAGTATTTACTCACCAAACCATTAACAATCATGCATTAATCAAAAAATAACAATTATCTATGTTATATTATAAAGCATTTGATAAAAACCATCTTTTATACATGAAAAACTGTGTATTGATGTATATTACTTAAAATTCAAGATTACAAGTGAATAGTGTATAAGTACAACTTATTAAAACTCCATGTTTGAATTCGTATAACTAAACTGCAGATAAACATAATCAAATACTATTTTATTTTAAATAGAAAAATCTAAAATATAATTAGAATAATTATTGTGTTAGTCCTTGAACCGATAACCATAATATCTTTCGGCCTCCATCCCTCGGGACCAACAATGGGTAGTACACGGGATTCAGCCAATTGTATTGGTCCTGGAATATCATCTAACATAATATTTAATTATTATCTTTATAAAAAAAATTAAATCAAAAACAAATTACTTCGTAATTAAACCTAAATTAAATTACAATAAAAAATTGAATTAAAGAAATTACACAAATAAACAAAAATTTTGAAATAGTTAATTTGATACTAATATCGATACATTTTTTTTTCAATATTTTATGATATCTTTAAATTTATATTTTTTTCAAAAATAAAAAATTATCGTTTTCTCGAAACCACATAATACCATATTACAACATTGACAGGGGACAAATGAAATATTAAAATCAAAATATATCTCGTTTTATTGCAAGAATACCTTTCTAGTATATCAAATAACTAACGGTAACAACTGATATCTAAAAATTACAAATAATAATAAATGAAATGAGTTTCAAATTATTATGGGCCTATAAAAATTATTGAACTGAGCCAAATATATTATAACATTAAAGATTGTTTTTAGTGTATAGTTGGAGCTAATTTTTTATAATGTTCTATGGACTATCATATATGTGGTATTTTATTAATGGGAGTCAGTTTATTATTTTTGTTAGCTTTGTTATGTATTAATATGTATAGGGGTTGGGTTCACGTGAAACTGGTTTATTTTTATGAGACAACATTTTTACACTTGAAACTTTACCACAAAATATTATGAAGGTAAAAAATAAAACCGAACATTTATAATGTTTTGCTGTAAAGTTTTAAGGGTAAGAATATTATGTCACGAAAACAATCTTCACTTGCATCCCAAGTCATATGTATAGTTTAGGGCCCTTTATGTAAACCTAGAGATTGTCTTTTATTACCTTTATCTCTTTTTGTACGAAAACACTTTTACGGCTTAATTTTTCAATGGAATACACAGACTTTTCTCCATGCTTAATGCTTCTATATCTTGTCTAAATCAACCAGGATAACATGGTATTAGAGCGAGCAAGGGTAACTTCATTGCCATTGGAATCTGTATTTTACCTGGTAATCAATTACCATCTCCTGGTTCGTCTTTTTATTTTCTCCTGTTTAGTTCTGCAGCTTTTGATCTTATTCATTCAGATTTTTTGGGGTCCCTCTCCTCACCCTACCATGGGTGGATCTCAATAATTTGTCATCTTTCTAAACGATCACACACGTTTTACCTGGCTTTGTCTTATGAAAAACCATTCTCAACTCCCACAAATCTATATGAACTTTGCCAAAATAATTCACACACAGTTCTCTCCCCCTATCAAAGTCTTCCTCCCCGACAATGCCATGGAGTACAAAGAACACCCCTTTCTCGAGTTCCTTCGCCAACAAGGCACTCTTTCTCAATGCTCATGTGCAGGTACATCACAACAAAATGGTCGTGTTGAACGAAAGCACTTCCATATTTTAGACATTGTTCACACCTTCCTGATCTCCGCCAAATGTCCTGAATGCTTTGGGGCAAGGGAACCCTTTCAGCTGTATACACACACCATTAATCATCAACCAACTCCCCTTCTTCAACACAAATCCCCTATGGAGCTTTACATGGCGTGCCACCAGCTTATGACCTACTAAAAGTATATGTGTGCGTACATTTTGTCCTACTCCAGCCTCACGAGCGTACCAAACTTGAACCTCGTTCTCGCCTATGTTGCTTTCTTGGTTATGCTATCAAACACAAAGGATATCATTGTTGGGATTCTATCTCCCAAAGACTTTGTATATCTCGTCATATCACATTCTTGGAAGATCAAATGTTTTCTTCCATCTCAAAATTCAAGGTTCAATATGATTTTATTCCTCCTTTCTTCATGGACACCTCCACTCCTTTATCTATTGACTCGCCAATTGTACCTACATCTTCTACCTTGGACAAGACCATATCTCACTCATTTGATCCCCTCCCCCATCCTCTACCGCATCACCTAAGTCGCCTGACACTTACCTCCAGAATCTACTTCTGCTCCACCGTCTACATTTGGTCCTGATTTGTTCGTAAGTCCTGATGATCTGGTTGCAGCTCCTTCAGAAATTTGTCGTTCTAACAAGTAAAACAAGTTCCGACTCATTTTCGTGATTATCACTGTTATTCCACTTGATTCACTTTTCATACTCCTACTTCCTACAAGGAAGCTTCTATGGACCCTCTTTGGCAGCAAGTTATGTCGGAGGAACTACAGGCCCTTGACAAAGCTCAAACTTGGGAGATTGTTCCTCATCCTCCAGGGAAAAGCATTATTGGGTCAAAGTGAGTATACAAAGTCAAAATCAAAATGAATGGATCCATTGATATTTATAAAGCTCTACTAGTTGCAAAGGGTTACAATCAAGAGCACAAGATTGACTATGAAGAGATATTTGCACCTGTGGCACAAGTCACTTCTGTTCGCATTCTTATTACAGTTGCTTCTACATGTAAATGGCCGCTATATCAGATGGACGTCAAGCATGTCTTCCTTAATCCACCTAATCATGTTTGTCGCCTACGTAAGGCTCTCTCTATGGGCTTAAGCAAGCTCCACACGCATGGTTCCATAAGTTTAGCGTGACTATCTACTCCATGGGGTTTGATCCCGGTCATTATGATTCAAGCCTTTTTATAAATACCAAGGATTCTTGTACTATTCTCTTACTTCTATACCAAGAAAATGAAAAACCTCCTAAAATGCTAATCTAAATATATAGCGTTTCAATAGATTATCTTATAAGTTACGTTTTATCCATCCAAACAGGACTTTTAAAAATAAGTTAGATTATATTTACCAAAGATAGCCTTAAGTTTATAGTAACAAAAAATTGTACGTCATAAACATGCTACAATAAGTTGATAGTAAGATTTTTCGTTCCCAAATATACTTTTATGACAATTACACTTTCTTTTACAACATTAGTGGCATAGTCGTAGGTTTAGGTTTGGGGTTGGGGTTGGGGAGGGAGTGGCGGTTCTGATGACGACAGTAGTAATGTGGTCCGGGAGGGTAAGGGGGGGTTAGTGTAGAGATGTGACAGTGATATTAGTAGCATGGTCGTAGTGGGGACAAGTGATGGGTGGTGATGAAATTCAAATTCCTTCACTTATGCTAAAGAAATAATCAATTTTTTAACTTATAGAATTCAAAGGATTCTATCTATTTCAATATGTGAACCAAACAAAGATATCGGAATTAGTTATTCAAATTCCTTTGAATTCTACGAACCAAACAACACGATGGTATTCTCTTGTATTATTGTTCTTTTTTCTTTGACATAATTATTTTAATTTAAAAAGTTTTTGGAATTTTATGCTGTTAAAGAAGCGTAATGTGTTTTGTTTGAGAGGTGTATGTAACAAAATCCAAACCTGAACATGAACCCGCAAGAACATCCCGAACTCCATTGCATACCGTCACGCAACCACTGCTGAAATTCTTGCCTTCGATTCCGTTCACCGGAGCTATCACAGAGTAGTCGTCGCAACCAACGGCTATCAGTTTGTTCAGTTCCGACAGCGTGAAGTAGGAGGTCGCCACCACAAGCCCAGTGGATGTTATCTCAATTATTTCACCGGTCTCATTGTAGCAGGTAGAAGCAACCACGTTTTTGATTCTTACGTGCTCATCGGAGATATCAATTATTTCTATCCGGTGAAAACTATCATCTCCCCTGTAAGAAAATAGATTTGCCGGCAAGAAGGCTTTGGGGGGATTGAAGGATGTGTTGCACGTGATATCGAACCAAGGGCCAATAGAGCAATCTGAATTGGATCCACGGATGCCGAAGGGGTATGGTACGGTGAGGTTGCCGCATTTCGTTGGGCAACCCGGAATCGAGATGTTGTTTACAGTGACGGACTCAGAAATTTTCTTGAGCGGGTGTAACTGTACGGTGGGGGCTGCCCCCGGTGAGGATGGGAGGTAGAATAGATACATGATTATCAAGAGTAGACGCATGTTTGTCGTGCATTTGTGGTTTTTCTCATCTTTATATATACTTTTTTATTGGTCAAAGTCTTAATAAATCCTAACATTTTATATTTTAAACGACGAAAACAATTCGAATATAACTTCTTTTTTCAGTTTCCGACGATAATTTAATTTTCCTTGTCGGTACTCATCATCCAAAAATATAATACGGTAACTAATACACACTTTTTTTGTTATAAAAAAAGTGTGTATTAGTTGCGATATTATTTTTGAATTATGATATTTTCATGACATCATGTAAATAACATTAAACCTTCACATCAAAACACTATGAAGGTTCGAAGTTTTTTTTTTACCTTCACAATGTTTTACTGTGATGTTTCAAGTGTTATTTTGTCGTCTTATTAAAACAGTCTGACTTCACGTGAACTCATTCCTTATTTTGTATTGCAACTTAGCGCACCATCGTTGGCAGACCAATTGATAGATTTTCGTTGGTTAATAAATTACATGTTAATTGAAAAGTTAATTGTTAGTTAATAAACTGATCATGTTTAATAAAAACTACTGTTTCATAAGTCATGTGACAACATAAATTAATGCATTATATAGAACAACTTAAAACACTCAAAATAAATCGTCTTAATTATAATTACAATAATCATACCATACAACATTTATTAAATTAAGTATTTCGTAAAATGGTATTCGATGTATGAAATACGGAACAATTTTTTTGGGTTGATAATTAAAATAATATATTATTAATAAACATTTAATTTGGTGTATTGAATAAAACATGTAATCTTGGTTTGAGAGGTAAATGTTCATATTTCTATACTTGATATCAAATTTTACAAGTCAAGTTTAATAATAAATTTTTTTAATATTTAAGACATTTATTTATATTATATTATAAATTGTTTGATAAAAATCCTTAAAACCCCATTTTTTTAATGTATGAGATACTGTTTATTGATATATATTGTTTAAAATTCAAAATTACAAGTAATTATGTGTAAATACAACTTATTAAAGTTTCATATTTAAATTCGTGTAACTAGCTGCAGATAGACATAGTCAAATACAAGATAAACATTTTATTTTAAATATAAAAAATCTAAAATATAATTATTATAATCATTGAGTTTTAACAAAATACTGAAATCATTATTTTTATAAAAGTTATATTATTAAAGCAAAACTAAATTATTTCGGTATTAGACCAAATTTAAATTATAATAAAAACATTAAGTCAAAGAAATTATACAAAAAAAAGAACTTTTAAATTAGTTAATTTAATATTAATATCGACATTTATTTATTTTATTCAATTTTTTATGATATTTTTAAATTTCTTTTTTTCAAACGTAAAAAGATTATTTTTCTTAAAAACACATAAAACTATATTGTATCTATAAAAATAAGATAAAACATTAAAATCGAGATATATTTTGGTGTATTATTAAGTATCCTTTTTAACACATCATAATAAATATGTTGGTTAAGATATTATATTTTAAATAAAAAACTTTGTATTGTTTTTCAATTGGATGTTTGAGTTTATGCATGTAAAAAAGTCAAAACAAGCCGACAACTAAAAAAACAAGTGGCTGTGAGAAGAGCACAATGTTGACTTTTATTCTAAGCCGTTGACTTCTTAGCGAGTAAACTCTAATTCGGTCCATACCATGGATGGACCCGTAGAATTCCATACGGTGGCACGTGCAACGTGGTATCTCTCTGTCGAAAGATTAAAAATTTTACGTTTATAAAAGGTGTAATTATATCGTGTTAGAAGGTATCATCGTATGATATTCAAAAGTTCAAGGTGTGAATGTATCTTGTAATCAGCCAAAAAACCAAAAAAAAACTTCTAAAATCAACCAAAAAAACTAGGAAAAAAAACTCTTAAAATCAAACAAAAAAACTGAAAAAGTCCCTTGGAATTGATAAAAAAAACCCTAAAAAATTCCTCGAAATTAAGCAAAAACACTTTAAAAATCTCTCGAAACAATGGAATTAGGCTAAAAACACATCAGGTGATATTAAACGTTAGTAAAAACATGAAGATATGTCGATAAAAACCATGTTTTTCGTATTTTTTTAGTCTATATTATGGTGCCATCTTCCTAGGTCAGTATCTGTCATATATCATGTACCAACCAATTGTAATTAGTACCAAAATCTATATCATGTACCAATCAACTATATTTGATACCAACTTTTTCAGTTGGTACATGTTGGTATGGTATTGTACCAACATCGCAGAAGTTAAAGTTATAAATTTAATTAAATTGACATCTTTACCAACTAGATCTAGATGCATTAAAACTATCGAGTATTTACATATCACATATTGATATGGGTGTATCACTTATCCCTATATATACAAACATTCAAATAATCTTCATATAATACAATCATTCACTAATAGTCTAATACAATAAGCAATTGAGGATCATGAATAGATTGTGGAGGTGTGTAAGATGAGTTATAGTAGTTATTAGGCTGAGGCAAATGAATTCAACCAAATTTTATATATCTATCTGTATTATAACTTAGCAAAATTTAAAACTTAAAATCAAAATGGGTTGTATTATTAATTAAATTTTAATTAATCAAGTTTAAATAGTTAGTACAATATTATCAACCAACTAAATTGATACAGTTGATATTACAATTGATTGGTTTGTTTTGTTAGGAAATTAACACCCGTACATATTCTTCCTATCTATCATCACTCCTACCCACCACTTCTCCCTTTCTTTCCTCCCTCCTCCTTCCCAATAAACACACAATACATATACATAAAACATACATATATACATACACATATACATACATACATATACATATAAGAGACACATAATCCCACCTTCATGAATATATAAACTTAAAAACACATACACACAAAAAAACCCACCTCCATAAACATACACATAAAAAAACTCACCCCTATGAACATATATATTTAAAAATAACTTGGTTTTACATATGAAACTGAATATTGTTCGGTTAATAAAACACTTCAAAAACTAAATAATAATATTTTATTTATTTTTAAATTTGTTTTATGTTTCCAAACCAAAATGGAATCGGTTTCATGGTTTATAGCCAAGATGAAATTGGTTTTATTAATGAAACCAAATATGGTTCAGTCAATGAAACATTTCAAGACTTGAATATTATTATTTCATTAATGAAAGTAGTTTCATGGTTCATAACCAAAATGAAATTAATTTCATTTTTGAAACATTTTGAAAACTGTATAATGTGATTTTATTAATGACATTTGTTTTACAAATGAAAACAAAACAATATATAAAATTGTTTCAATGTTTCTTGAATAAATTCATGAGACTTCTTGTCACCTTGAATGAAAGATGGACCATTTGGCATGCTATTGTGAACCATATATGACACTATTTCATTTATAGTTATTGAAACAAGATTAGACTCTTAATTATTTGTAATCAAACTGATTTTAGGAATATAGTTTTATAATTATATTTTAGGAGTATAATTTAATAAAAGAATATAAACTATTAATGGTAATAATTATATATTAAAATAAATTATCTGGGATTTTAAATATTCAAGGTGCCCATCGGTTATCGCCAGGAAGAATGTCTTTTTCCCAGATAAAAATTTCTTTCCATTGTTGCAAGACTAAGTAGGTGTGTCTCGTTATCTACACAATTGATCTATTTAATTTTTCATATTTAAAAACAATTAAAACATTACCAAGATTAACCATTACAAAATAAAGTGACATTCATACCCTTACTCATTAAAAATAAAAAATAAAACATGGAATTTTCCTATTGGTTGAAATTAGTTTCTATAGTTTGCATGAAATAGGTTCTTTGCAATCTAACTCCCCCTATATATATATGTATGTATATATATATGTATGTATATATATATATATGTATGTATATATATATATGTATATATATATATGTGTGTGTATATATATATAGGGTTAAGTTCACGTGAGACCAAGAGTTTTTCGTGAGATCCGTAAGACCAATTTATGTTCATTGATCAACTTTATAAGCTAATGATTTAATGGTCTAAAGTTGCACGGTGACAATTTTGTGATTATTGAGAAGTCTTGTGGTAATTTTGTGATTATGATTGTTCAGATTGTAGATCTAATCCAAGGGTTGAGAATTGGTCTTACGGGTCTCACGAAGAACCCTTAATCTCATATGATCCCAAGTCTATTATATATATATATATATATATATATATATATACATAGGGGCCTAATCAAATGAGAACTGATTAGTTTGTGGTAACTGTGAGGTCCAATCTCAACCACAAATTAATGGATAAATTAGGAAATTAATAATTATGGTAGTTTGAGTTAAAATTATAATTAGARGGCATATTAGGTATTTTTTAAAAACTCATCTCTCCTCTCTCCTCTCTCCGACCTCCAATCTCCGGCCTCCAGTGAAATCGGTATCACAGTATATCACAATGGGTATCACATTATGTATCTTTGTTTTTAAGGTTTGAGTTGGTATCATAGTTGGCATCACAATGGTATCACAATAGGTATCACATTGTGTATCTTTGTGATTACTAGGTACCTGCAGGATTAATGTTCACCGGAGGTCGGAGAGAGGAGAGATGAGAGATAGAGAGGAGAGAGGAGAGAGAATTTTTTTTAAAAATACCTAAAATGTCCTCTAATTATAATTTTAACTCAAATTACCATAATTATTAATTTCTTAATTTATCCGTTAATTTGTGGTTGAGATTGGATCTCACAGTTATCACAAACTAATCAGTTCTCCCTTGAATGAGCCCCTACATATATATATATATATATATATATATATATATCCAGGAGATTCGATCTGGCAGTAAAAAGAATGTTTGGTATAAGTAACTCATTTATTGGTCTTCGACCCCCTCAGTTTTGGTCGAATCTTCTTCCATAATGGTACGACATAATAGTATTATCGGGTAGGCGGAGTTATTGCAGAGTTGAATCGTGCAGTACCAGACACGAG